TGCGACAGACTGACACACCGCCTGGCTGTGCACCACCCCCACAGACACTGCCATCTTTGAGCCCACTGTTGCAGCCACTGTGTCAGTCCATCGTGTTGAGGGGCTTCCTCCTTTTTGCTGACCCTCTACCTCACCAACCAGGAGGCTTTCTCCAGGGACTGTCCCTCCTAAGAACTCGTCCACAGAGCGTCAGATGAAGTCTCACCATCCTGCCAAGGAGCATTCTGGCTGTACTTCCTCCAGGACAGATGTGTTAATTCTTCTGGCAGTCCATGGCATATTTAATATTCTTCTCCAGCACCGCAGTTCAAAGGCATCAATTCCTCAGTCTTCCTTATTCACTGTCCACCTTTTGCATGCATATGAGGCAACTAAAAATACATTACTTGAAAGAGGTCTTTTGTAGCAGAGTTGCCCATGCAATACATCATTTGATTTCTTGGCTGCTGCTTCCGTGGGCATTAATGTGGATCCAAGTAAAATGAGATCCTTGACAATTTCCATATTTTCTCTGTTTATCATGATGTTGCTTATTGGACCAGTTGTGAGGATGTTTTTCTGTATGTTGAGGTTCAATCTATACTGAAGGTTATAATCTTTGATCTTCATCAGTAAGTGCTTCAAGTCATTTTCACTTTCGGCAAGAAAAGTATCACATATCACAGGTTGTTTTCCTCCGATCCTGACACTGTGTTCTTCATATAGTCCAGTTTCTCAGGTTATTTGCTCAGCATACAGACTGAATAAGTATAGTGAAAGGATACAATACTGATGCACACCTTTCCTGATTTAAAACCACACAGTATTGCCCTGTTCTGTTCCAACAATGGCCTCTTACTCTATGTACAGGTTCCCCAGGAACACAATTAAGTGTTGTGGAACTCTGATTCTTACACTGTTATCCACAATTTACTACGATCCACACAGTCGAATGCCTTTGCATAGACTATAAAACACGGTAAACATCTTTCTGGTATTCTCTGCTTTCAGCCCAAATCCATCCAACATCAGCAATGATATCTCTCAGTCCTGTTCATTTCTGAATCCAGCTTGAATTTCTGGCAGTTCCTTTTTGATGAAACCTTTTTTTTTCCCCTTTTTTTTTTCCATTAGTAGATGTTAAAAAATCTAAGAAATCACTGTTCTGTCTACTGTTTCTAGTTAAATTCCTTTTCAGTAGCTCATGTTTTGGCAACTGCTTTCTACCCCCAAAGAGAGCCAAATGCATTCCTCTATCTGTACTTTCTCCCCAAATTCCAAAGCTGTGTTTCTGGCAGCTTATTAGCTATCTCCATTTTCAATCACCTCATATGCATGACAAAGCCGGGCAACGAATAAGGAAGACCAAGGAAGAATTGCTACCTATGAATCATAGTGCTGGTGGAGAATACTGAATATACCCTGGACTGCCAGAAGAATGAACAAATCCGTGTTGGAAGAAGTGCAGCCAGAATGGTCATTAGAAGTAAGGAAGGCAAGACTTCATCTCCCGTGCTCTGGACGTGTAATCAGGAGGGACCGATCCCTGGAGAAGAGTATCATGCTTGGAAAAAAGATCAGCGAAAAAGAGGAAGACCCTCGGTGCGGTGAACTGGCACAGTGGCTACAATGGGCTGAAACCGCAGCGATTGTGAGGAGGGCACAGGACCTGCCAGTGTTTTGTTCTGCTGTACACAGGGTCACTATGAGGCAGAACTGTCTTGACTACACCTAACAACAGCAACAACACCACCTGGGCGAATTTTCGCAATTAAATGTGAATCAGATTATTCATGTAAAATTGCAAGCATCAACTGCCATAAGCACATACAGTTCTGGTAACCCAATTACCACAGCAGCGGCCTAGCCAGCATCTAGCCTCCTATTTTTCCCTTTCTGCGTGAGCCAGCCCTTCCCCAGTGTGTGGCAACCATGAGGTTTAGATGGGAATGCTACCACTTCCAGCACTTGGAGTGGGCCCTGCCTGGCAGAAACCAGTTGGTAGAATCTTGTTGTTGTTGTTGTTATATGCTGTCCAGTTGGCCCTAACTCATAGCGACCCCTCCTTGGGTTTCCGAGGCAGTATCACTAGGGAAGTAGATTGCCCAACCTTCCTTCCAAGGAGTGGCTGGTGGGTTTGAACCGCCAGCCTTCTGGTTAGCAGTCAAGTGCCTTAGGCACTATGCTACCAGAGCTCCTTGGTAGAATCTTATCCCCCTACAATAGATTCTGGTTCCAAGAAGGCAATAAGTCAAGGCAGTTAGGGAATGGCATCCCCCTCCCCACCTTGGCCACCAGGGTTAGATTTAGGTCGATTGGATTAGGTTGGAGCAAAGTCAGGCAGTTTTGTTCAACAGATCTAGGACGTAAGACTCACTCCTCCTGGATGGGAATGAGGAAGCATGTAGCCCTCAGTGCTGCTGGAAGTCATCTTATTACTCTAAGTGGAGCTGGCCTTAGAGGATAAAACTGCAGAGTAGAGCTAAGAGTATAAAAATAAAACGACACTGCAGCCTGGATCAAACCAGACCTAATGCCTGACCTAACTTTGGATTTTTGTTTATATGAGCCAATATTCTTTATTGCTCAAGCCAGTTTAATTTTGTTTTTCTTTTTTCCTGTTACTTGAAACCTAACACATTCTAAATCATGTAACACTCTATAAAACTATTTTTTTAATTAACCAATCATAAATAAATGTTTATTGGCTATTACTCTAATTGAGCCATTGGAGAGATACTTAAAGAGAAGATTGGCTCTTTAAAATCTAGCTGGAGATGAAGGGTAAGGAAAAGCAGTCACAGCAGTCAGTAATCAGTGAGCACGCCCTGTGTCAGGCACCATGCTATGTTTACATGCGTGATCACAAGCCATCCTCACAGCAACCCTGTAATTGCGTGGTGGGGGGGCAGGTACGATGATCCTCATTTTACAGAGAAGAAAATGAAGGCTAAAGGCTCAGAGGCTTATGTCTTGTCACAAAGCTAAGCAGAGCCAGAATTCACACCTATGTATGTCTGTGTGACTCCAAGGCTTGTTTGCTTTTAATCATGCTTTTTTCATGACTCTACTATTACATGAAAGGGAAAAAATAAGGTTAAATCAGTGATATTTTCTAGGAAAGAAATTAAAGAATATAAGCTGAAATTAAAAAATACCTGATTGACCTACATAAGACCAAATGGTCAGCAATTACTTAAAACAAAGATGAGAATGTAAGGGGGTAGAGAAACTAGATTAATAGAAACAGAGCAACCAGAATGGAAATAATGAGTATGTTTATGCATTGTGAAGACTGTAACCAATGTCACTGAACACTTTGTGTAGAAATTGTTGAATGGGAACCTAAACTGTGTAAATCTTTACTGAAAAGACAATTAAATACTATTTTTAAAAAAGATATGATTAAGATAAATGCAAGATAAAATTAAGAAATAGAAGATAAATTTTAACACCATAAGACCATGCCCCTACAGAGCTGTTGCATTGTGGTAAATTGTGGTCAATGCTATGAGACAAAGTGCATTGAACTGTTGTATGGAAAGTAAATTTGCTCTGTAAATTTTCACCCAAATCACAATTAACAAACAAACAAACCAAAAGACCATGCCCCTACAAAAAAATGATTTGGACCAATATCACAAGTACAAGATTTTGTAAAACATAAAATTCTACTTGTTAACTTAAAATAGGAACAATTGTAATAAATATAACTAGAGCTAATACATACAGAATGTGCTAAGCATTCTTTTAAACCCTTTACAGGAATAACTCACTGAATCCTCACAACAGAGGCTACGACTAACATTATCCTCATTTTACATATTAGGAAACTGAGGCACAGAGCTGTAAATTAATTTGCCCAAGGTGAAACCAAGGAAGGGGCAGAGCCAGATCCTGCACCGGACTTTGTGGGACCCAGGATCCATGCTCTTCAACTGCTGTGCTGTACATGTTTAAGCATGTAATACTCCTGTAAGTGCATTTTATCTAGCTTATGAGGTTAAACCACTGCCATCGGGTCATATCTGACTCATAATGACCCCTCCTTGGGTTTCTGAGGCGGTATCACTATGGAAGTAGGTTGCCCAACCTTCCTTCTGAGGAGTGGCTGTGAAGTTAGGAGTCAGAAAATCTGTCTCACTGTGAGCGTAGCAGAAAGAATGCAGGCTACTGCTCATTTGGGTCTGCACTCAAATCTGGGTGCTGAGTTTACTAGCTCTGTGACCTTGGACCAATCACCAAGCTTCTTTGAGACCTAGACATGGTAATATCTGCCTCCTAGGCCTGAACTCAAATCTGGGTGCTGGGTTTACTAGCTCTGTGACCTTGGACCAATCACCAAGCTTCTTTGAGGCCCAGACATGGTAATATCTGCCTCCTACAAGTCTTTCAGGGAGCTCTGGTAGTGTAGAGCCTAAGGCACTTAACTGCTAACCAGAAGGCTGGCGGGTCAAACCCACCAGCCACTCCTCGGAAGGAAGATGGGGCAATCTACTTCCGTAGTGATACTGCCTCGGAAACCCAAGGAGGGGTCGCTGTGAGTTGGATCCGACTCAGTGGCACATAACAACAACAAGAAGTCTTTCAATAGACTGTGCATCCTTCAGTAGGTAGGCATCATTACTATCTGTTCTTACCAAGGACTGTTTGTGGCTAAATCATACATACAAAGCATTCTTACTGATTATCAGGAAGCAGCCAGTTCCTTTTAGAACAGCCAAATGTTTGAATTCAAGGGGACATTTAAAACAACTGGTTTGTACACAGGCAGACTTTGTGTCACTGACTAGTCAAAAAATGAAATGATTATGTAATATCAAATATAACATCTCAAAGGTAAGGTAATACTTTTCAAGTACTTAACAACTGCTCTGTTGTCAAACCATCCAAATTCTAAGTAACAGTGCAAATGGGAAGTCTTAACATTAAATGTGAATGAATACTGAATATCCCAAACATGAAATATATGAAGGAAAAAGAAAACCCGAAATGTCTTAACTAGTTTTAATTACACCTACCATGTCTGCAGAAGAATTGAATAACGACTTGGGACTTAACAGATCTGGTGAATATTCTGCACTTCTCTACATTTCTTTCGAGGGAATTCAGACATTTAAAGATGGGCAGGATCGCCTGTAACAAACACATTATAGAACAGCACAGACTTAACGTGGTTGTTTATTTAGTTTTTAAAAAACAAAAGCCCTGATGTCAACTGGTAGTTAAATAACAAATTGGCTCAAAAAAGAATGAGCATCACCTGTAAGCACCATGGTCCTTTTTAAAAATCACCTAGTGACCATCAAAGAATGCTTCTTTGTGTGGAGATGTATGCAGACAGGTTAATTCTGGTGAAGGGAAAGGCTACACACAGTAGGCAGGAAGCCTGCACAATGTGACCAAGGCAAATGAAGACATCGAGAGGTACGCAAGAACAAAGGGCAACTCTGCTGGGTGGAAAGGAGCTCTGGTAGCCTGGTGCCTAAGGCATCTGACTGTTAACCAGAAGGCTGGCGGTTCAAACCCGTGGAAGGAAGACTGGGCAATCTACTTCACTAAAGATTTACTGCCTCGGAAACTCGCTATGAGTTGGAATTGACTCGATGGCAGTGAGTTTGGTTTGTGGATGCTGGATGGTAAAACACACAATCCTGCAACAACAGGATAACTTGTGAGTGGATACATGAATAGATGTGTATGCTAATAGTTAGTTATGGGACGTTGTATGAGGCGATACCTGTGTACATACATAGGTGTAATTGTAGCTACTTCTACATATATATTGTATGTGCTGCATGTGTATTCATATATATAACATAGCATATAGGGGGCACAGTTATAAAAATTTCTTAGACATAACCAAACACCTCATGGGACTGAGCTGGTGGGCTCAGTTGAAGACTAAAGGCTATGGTCTTGGAGGACATCTAGGTCAACTGGCATAACATAGTTCATAAAGATAATGTCTTACATCCTAGTTTGGTGAGCAGTGTGTAGGGTCTTAAATGTGAGAACTAAGATACAACTATTGGTCTCTTCCCACCTGGAGCAATGGAGCATGAAGAAAACTAAGGAGTCACTGAAGCAATTAGTCCAAGGGACTAATGGCACACATGAACAACCACCTCCATTGGCCTGAGACCAGAAGAACCAGACGGTAAACACGCTAGAGGGTCCTGGTGAAAATGGGTGAAAAATGTAGACCAAAATTCACATTCAAAAAAAAGACCAGACTTACTGGTTTGATAGAGATCACAGAAAACCCAAGACTATTGCCCTAAATCACCCTTCCAAGTTGGAAGTGAAGCTACTTCCAGAGGCCACTTCTCAACCACATAATAGACTGGGCTATAAAATAAACAATAACAGCCATGAGGAATGTGCTCCTTGTTGTTGTTGTTATGTGCCCTGGAGTTGGACCCAACTCATAGTGATCCCTCCTTGGGTTTCCGAGGCAGTATCACTACGGAAGTAGGTTGCCCAACTTTCCTTCCAAGGAGTGACTGGTGCGTTTCTTAGAACAGTCAACTCTATGAGACCAAAAGGGCAGCATTTGCCCAGGGTCAAGGACAGGAAGCCAGGGAGGGGCAGGGAATCTGGATGAATGAAAACAAGGAACTGAGGGTGGAAATGGAGAGGGTGTCGACACACTGCAGGGATTGCAACCAATGTCACTGACCAATTTGTATATGAATCGTTGAGTAGAAAACAAATTTGCTGTGTGACCTTCTACCTAAAGCACAATAAAGTGTGTGTTTTTTTTTAAATCACCTATACGAGACCAAATGATAATTACTTTAAAAGAAAGATGAGAATGTAAGAGGGCAGAGAAACTAGATTAATGGAAACAAACCCATCAGAATGGAAACCATGGGAATGTTCACACATTGTGAAGAATTTGTGTAGAAATTTTTGAATGGGAACCTCAACTGCTGTGTACACACAAGAAGAATATATAGATTCATCAACGAATAAACGTATCCTGAATGCCATTGAAACCAAGTAGGGGATAAATGTTAATGTTGTGTCATGTATAACAAACATTTCCACTATATAAGAGAAAACCAGGGCCACTTCTATTTACCTTCATTGCCAACTGACAATTCAAATTTGATGCAGTTCCTTTATCTTTCATTTCCATTGGAGCTGACCATTCATAATGTTGAAAAAACAAAGAAGAGAAGAGCACACATCCATAGGCTGATCGACAAGAATTTACAGATCTTAGAGCAAGCTGGGAAAAAAAAATGAAATAACTATTTAGAAGAAAATGGACTTTCTTTCAATGACAGTTTAATTCAAAACACCCCATTCTTTAACATCACAGTTACCAGTTGCCACTGAGTCGTTGCCACTGAGTCAATTCCAGCTCCTGGCCCCACGTGAGTCACAGCAGAACTGGCTGACTTTTCAGGAGTAGATCACCAGGGCTTTCTTCCTGAGAGCCTCTGGGTGACTCAAGTCTCCAACCTTTCAGTTAGCAGCCAAGTGTGTTAACTGTTTGCACCGCCCAGGGACACTACATCACAGTTAAGAAACTTGTTGCTGTCGAGTCAATTGTCAAGTTAATTCGGACTCATAGTGACCCTGTATGTCACAGTAGAATCGTCCCATAGGGTTTCCCAGGCTGTTACCTTTACAGAAGCAGACTGCCATATTTTCCTCCTGCAGAGCGACTAGTGGGTTCAAACTTGACCTTTCGGTTAGCAGCAGAGTACTTCACCGCTGCACCACCAGGGCTCCTTCATCACAATTAATAAACCCAAAACCGAACTCACTGCCATCAAGTCGATTGTGACTCATAGTGACCCCATTGGGTTTCCAGGGCTGTAGATCTTTATGGAAGCAGACTGCCTCACCTTTCTTCCATGGAGTGGCTGATGGGTTTGAACCACCAACCTTTTGGTTAGCAGCCAAATGCCTTATCCACTACACCAGAGCTAAGTGTCCATGGGATGTTTACTATGGACTATACTGTACACTGTATTGAACTTGCAGATGTATATCAAGGTATATACATATCTATACTGAATTATGTATATGTATTAAATCGAAAACCTTGCATGTTTACAAGGTAGAACAGTAAGTGCCTACAGGGTTCAGTACATAAAAGTACCAAGTGGCAGAAGGCACTATAAATGGAGAAAAGCATTGCAGCAAACGGACAATTTCCCACCTTGTCCGGAAGAAACCATTACCCAGCATCAGCCAAATGCTTCCATTTGGTAATGCAGGTCCCAAATTGTCAGGTCTTCTAATTTTTCAAGAAAAGTAGGAAGTCCAGGTTTTTATATGGATTCCCAAATTTTAAGGGTTGGGAATCATTTCAAATCTAAAAAACATAGTCCAGTCTCAGGGCCAGAATTTGTGGCTTCTGGTTTAAGTCAATTATGTTTATCTGCATGATTTTCACTGGGTTCCAAATATACTCAAATATGTAAAATAAAGATGAACAGGGGAAGGGATAATGCCAACATCTGGACTTCCTGGTAAACATGCAATCTGGACACGGATCTTTAAACATCTTCTTTTGACTTAATAGATGGCCTGTTACTTAATTTTCTTCACTTACATTTTTTTCAGACGGGTCTAGCCATAACTCGTCACTGATTCGTGATAGAGCTTGGATTGCTTTTCCAAATACTATGGAGAAAAAGAAAGGTGCTGTTTCCATTTCTGTCTTTCTAACAATGAAAACAAATCACAGGATGACAGCAGCTTTCAGAGAACCAAAGATGAATTCATAAAAAACAATCTTTTATAGGTTAATACTCTATTGCTTTGAAGAAATAAAAAGTGTAATTTCCTTGGCAAAATGCCAGACACACAGTAAGCCCTCAATAAATTTGCAAGAATGAGTGTGTGGAATAAAAAGAGTGGCTAAAGTTGACCTGGTAGGGCACTGTTAATGTTACTGATTATGAATAAGGAAGAAATGTGCCAAACAGATATGGTATATACCACTCAGCAGTAAAAACGATGGCCATATCAATCCATGGAAAAGTACTTAAAAAAAAAAGTTGTGATAGAGTTGCCTCTGCCTCACTGCAACCCCACAGCAGAGCTGTTCCTCAGGGTCCCCCACTCCCATAGGGTTTTAATGGCTGGTTTTTAGGTAGTGGATCATCTGGCCTTTTTTCCCAGGTGCCTCTGGGTGGACTCGTAGTGCCAACCTTTTGGTTAGCGGCTTAGTGCATTAACCATCAGCACCAAGGAAAACAGAAAAGAAGAAAAGTAATTTCAGAATTACAAGACTGTACAGTGAGAAAGATAGGATGAAATTATTAATGAAAACAAAAAAACACGTTGCTGATGAGTCAACCTTAAAGGGCAGAGTAGAAATGCCCCATAGGGCATTACAAGACTGTAATCTGTATGGAAACAGACTGTCACATCTTTCTCCCACAGAGCTGCTGGTGAGTTGAACCAACAACTTTTCAGTAAGCAGCTGAGCGCTTAGCCACCGTACTACCAAGACTCCTTCCTGAAAAATATATACCCCCTAAAAATAGAAGCATTTGTTCCTTTTTACCACTTCACATTCACTTTTTGCTGAAGATGCCTAATACAGACCTTTCATTCAGTCAGTGAGTAATTATTGAGTAGCTACTATGTACCAAGGACAAGCAAAACATTGGGGATACAGCAGTGACAACAGGTACAGTCTCTGCTGTCACAACGCTTAACAGTCTCGGAAGGAAAAGGAGAACTAAACAATCATAAAAAGCTACTTGTTGACAACTGAGGTTCACACTGCAAAAGAGAAATTTCTAGCTCTCTGAGATGCACAAGGGGGCTCGTGCCTGTTCAAAACACTTCGCTATTTGTCGGCACAGCCAGTCCCACATAACATGCCTTTCAGTGACCAGTTCCAGATTACAGTCTGTAGGAAACCATTGTTTTTCTAAAGAGATTTCTTGAATAACTTTATTTTAAAAGCGCCATTATAATAATGTCCTGGACTAGACAGTGTTTCGTTCTATTGCACCACAGGGTTGCTAAGAGTCCAGGCACGTGTACCTTCCATCTATTACTGAGTTCCTCACACGCATTCCCATTTCATTCCTACAGCAAACCCTATGGCAAAGGTGCTGTTAACTATTCTCATTTTACAAAGGAGGAAACTGAGACCCAATGGGATTTTGCCACATTCCCTCCCAGAAAACAGTATGGGGACTCAAAACCTGGTCTGTTTTACTTACAGCACTAACGTACTTTTACTGCTCAAGGCACTATTTTTCCTCCCAACTCCTCCCCATCATCCCGACTTTGAAGCCTTCTACCCCCCCATATGTGTCGCAATGGTGCAACTTCATTCCCTCATGGACACCCTTCCCATTAAATATTTTGCAGGTGGGCCTCATTCACCCCTCAGAAGCTGACAGGGTTAGGGGAGGTGGGGGGAGTCGACCGTGTCCAGGTCTGCGTCCTCAGCCGCTTTGCATGAAGGGGAAGAAATAAGATGATGGAGATGTAGCCATGAACCTTATGCTTTCCCCCCCTCTGTGTATGAAGGCAGGAAAGGCCACGCCACCTTTCACCTGACTACCGTTCATTCCGCACTTCAGCATGGCTACAAGCCCTAAAACGCCGTGGCAAAAGGCGCCCTAGAGCGACGACCCCAGGTGCCCGGATGTTGCCAACGCGCTTTTTTTTTTTTTCTGCCCCTCTAGGCCTCACGATCTCACCCCCTCGCTCCCTCCAGCCCGCAATTCCCATAGTGTTCGCTTTACGGTGGGGAATGACCTGTGTGGGCCGCCGTAGGGCGGTCTCTTGTCGACCTCGTTTTTTACTGGCTGTGGGCAAAGTAGGCGGGGTGTCAAAGAGTGTGAGGAAGAGGGTGGCGGTGGTGGCTGTGACTGAACGGAGCCCGGTGACAGGATGGTGAGGACGGCGGTGGCAGCCACCGAGGCCTGGCTCTCGGTCTAGGAGCTGCGCCGTTAGGGGCCATAGGGAGTCTCTGAGCGAAAGCTTGGGCGAACCTGGACGTGTTGGCGGGCGAGGCCCAGGCCCGGGGGGAGGGCGAAGGAAGAAAGGGAGCGGCCACCTCCTGGTGCGGCTGGCACTGGCCCTGCACCCTCGCCCTCGGGGCCAGTCCAGGGGACGTCCGAGGGAAAAGGGCCCCCCTCAGTTAGTGTTGTCACGAGACCCACACACCCAGCCCTGGAAGGCCTCCATTTCCAGACGTTTCCCTGCTCCTTCCAGGCAAAAGCACCTCCCGCGGGTGGGGGTATGCTGGTTCCCACACACACGTCGCGAAATGGACCTCGCATGCAAAACGGGAAGTAGCGAGTAGAATTCCTACCCTTTTAAGTCTTCCATTTAGGGAGAGGAGATTAAAAACTAACTCCTTCGCCCCTCAGATAACATGCAGCTGCCATTGAAATGCGTAGTGTGCCCTCAGAGGGTTGCATTTGTACTTAAAATTGTTGAAAGCCCTTGTTTCTTCAAGATACTGTGAGCCTTACAGTAGGCTTCTTCAGTGATCTGTGAACTCCCTGAAATTGTTTGGAAATTTTTGTGAATATGTACTTTGTAATGACAGGGCCAGTGCTGGCGCCAGGGGGTGGTGAGAGGGGCTTTCTTTCAGGCTCCTCCCGCCCATTACTCCCCGCACCCTCAACAGATTTATTACCCTGAAGACTTTCCTGCCTAAAAACTGTTTCAAAAGGTGCTCTGATTATCTTGTTATTTATGTTAATAAGGTTAATTGTAAAGGGATTCCTCTCTCTGCTAGGCAGCCATTGCAATATAAGATTATCACAATTCTGGGACAAATGTTCTTTCAAGAATTGTGCCTTTCTCGCTCTCTTACAGTATAAAAGGCTTTAATCCCATCTTTGATACTTGCTTCTAAACAGACTCCAATGGTTGTTAGCCTTTCCCTCCTGTCACTCTGGAGCCAATGAAGAAGCAATAGAGACGTTTGGGATTTATACAGATTTGAAGTATCTGTGCTGTGCAATCATTTCCCACTTACAGGGACAACAATCTGTTGTCAAATTTATGTTTTAATTTGGAAACAGTTCCCTGACACACGATGTTTTCTGAAGTTGTTTTCAGCGGGGAACACATTTTCTTAGGATAGTCATAGTGATACATCACTTGTTATGTGAAAGAATTGTGCAGAAGTCAGTGTTGGCTGATTATTTTATGATTAGAAGCATTCTTTTGGCAAAGAAGCATAGAGACATTCAACATTTAGTATCAAGTGTCCACAGTAGATGGGCAGCAAATTCGTTTGTGGGGAAGGTGCAGTTCTAGCTGGCAAAAAGGATATGGATTTTTATCATCTTAGTTGCCAACTTCATTACTTGATCATGTATTCACTGCCCTGTTTTGGATCTTCTATAGAAAAATAACGAACTAGCTACAGCTTAATTTTCCAACGGCTAGAATTTTGAACATAAGAGAATTAAAATCAATACATCTGAGGAATAATTAGATCCTAAGAATCCAAAAAATGTCAGTGTTCATTTAAGCTATTACTGATGAATTTTTTAGATTGTCTCAAGAAAATCTAAACAGAATAGGAAACAAAAAGGTTGGGAGTTCAGGTCAAGAATAAGATTATGAAAAATAGAAAAAATTTGACAAGGGAGAATTTTAATAAGTGTGTGTGTTGTTTAAAAATATAGCAAATAGTTTTTTGGGTATTGTTGGAGCAAAGCTGATTTTTAACATTTTCTTTCATAACACTCAAAAATCATTAACAGTTGTTTGCATTTTCATTTGGATATAGGTTCTTTTTTTTTTTTTTGGTTTGTTTCTTTTTGTTGCTTTCTTTTAACATTGGTCATGTTTCACCCTTTTTTTCATCCCCTGTCTGCAATCAACTTCTTCATTCCACTAAGGCTGGGCACAGAGTAAGTTTCTTCTCTTAGCTGCTACTAACCGTGGTGGTTGGGTGACTGATACTGGGTTCCTCACCCTTTTAAAGTCTATCAGATAGGAAAAAACTAAATTCTCATTCTTTGATTGTGTTGGTTCCTGATTTGAATTTAACAAGACTGCCATTTCCAGCATCTATTGCTATTTTTTTTTAAATAAAACACCTTAATCTATCTCTAACTTGACCTGTCAAAGTGTGGAATTTAGCTAAGGACACTCCTCAAAATACATTTGTTATGTCACACTGTTTCCCTGCTGGAAACCAGAGGATTTTGTTCTCATAAAGATGCTTACTAATTTGAAAACATTTGTGTGGTCATTCATAAAGTCTTATTTTTTGATTGCTAATAGTTTTGGTACACGTGGGGATAACCCACATTACTTTATAGAATTTAGCTCATCAATTCTTATAAAGTACCATGTCTTAACTAATGTTCTTTCTAGAACATTCAGATTGAATAACTCAATAATTATTAGTCCCACACATTTTCAACCTGTTATAGACATTTAAGGAGCCCTGGTGGTACAGTGAAGGAGCTCTGGTGGCACAGTGCCTAAGGCATTTGACTGATAACCAGAAGGTTGGCTGTTCAAACCCAGCAGCCACTCCACAGAAGAAAGACTGGGCAATCTACTTCCGTAAAGATTTACCACCTTGGAAACCCAATAGAGAGGTTGCTATGAGTTGGAATTGACTTGATGGCAGTGGGTTTGGGTTTTTTTTTTTTTTTTTGGTTTGGTGGTACAGGGGTTAAGTGCTTGGCTGATGAGTGAAAAGTCTGGTTAGAACCCACCAGCTGCTCTTCAGGAGAAAGATGTGGCAGTCTGCTTCTGTAAAGATGTACAGCCTTGGAAACCCCATGGGGTAGTTTGACTATGCCTTGTAGGATTGCTACTGAGTCGCAGTCAACTCCATGGCAACAGGTTTGGTTTTTTTTTTTTTTTGGTTTTGGTTTTGGTTTTGGTTTTTATAGACATTTACCCTTTTATAATTTTTTTTTTAAATATAAAAAGCTATTTTTTACCTTTTTTCCCAAATGCCAGCTTCACACATTATGTATTTCAATCCACTTTTGAAGGGACTCCCCCTCTGAAGATGAGGATTGTTCTATCTCCAGGTACTTTTGTATTAGTTCCCAAAGAGGTGAAAATGTCATGGTGGTTTTCAGTTGTACAGATTGTTTTGCCCACTAAGATCTACACTGAAACACTGAGCAAATACCAGCTGAAACTACTGTTCTTTATAAAGAAGAAACTTATTTAACATTTTGAAGTGTGCTAATATTGTAACCCTGTGTTACTTCAGTTACTCTGTCCTCATAACACTTCTGTCCTCTGCACTCATTTTGATTTTTGTTGCAAAACATACCAAGCTTGTTTTAGTTAATCATTTTAATTTCACACATTTTATTTTTTGATTAATTTCAACTTACAAAGTCTGTGGTGGCAAAATTATTATCTAGTTTATGTATTTACTGTTTTCTCTGATCATATTAAGAAATAGTCATGCCTTCCTCAAAAGCAGTTAAAGCATATACATTTATTGATAGGATCTATATAAAAATATCCTATCAGAGTACTGAGGTGCTGACACTAATTGATCAACATGAAGAAATTGATTCTGTTATCCTTTGGAGCACAGAGATCATTTTAAAATAACCTTTTTGATAGTATTCTGTTAAATGGCTAAATATGTCAAATCTTGATTGTTTAAAATTAAAATTTTACGGGATTGAGTTTTTTTTCCTTTTTATATTTAAGAGCAAAATTTATTTTGTCATCTGAGACTATGCTGCAACTCTGAAACACCTACCTGCTAAACCCATCACTTATTTAGCTAATCCCCTTTTTAAACGTGTTCTAATGCACATGAAAGATTGTGAAAATACTATTTTTAAAATTTGTAAACTACACTGAGGGCACATAGGCATTTTCATCCAGACAATAAAAATAGGCGAGAAAGTGAGAATTTTTTAATAACGAAGGAAGATACCAAAGATTATAAATCAGAAAATCAGAAGCACATGTTTGCCCTGTTGAAACTGGAACTTGAGCTGTTTTTATACCTCTGTAATGTATCCTTAATAGTTTTAATTAACAAATATTATAATTTTTGGCTACTGTTCCTCCAAATAATCTGGTAAGCATAAATTATCGATTAACAGTTCCTCTTATGGGGAGGCTTTACATTACATTAAACATGTAAGCAGGTTGTTTACATTACAACTACATAAATAGAATTACCATATCAGATTTCAAAAATACCAAATTCCATATGACCCAGTAGTGTCTTTTTCATTTTGCAGGTTTTTTTATTCAATATAATTTATAGGTCTCTAATGAATCCCTTTAGAATGCTTGATTTTATTCTTGCTGATCAAAACAATTACCTGTATTGAGTATGCACAACTATTTGACCTCATAAAAGAAGATTAATTTAGAGTGTATTACCATCTGTGTGCTTCTTTACATGATCACAGTAGGAACTGTATGGCTAACTTCTGCTCTCTTTTGGGTTCTGGAATATCTGATGAGTTTAATGTAAAAGACGAGTGATGGGAGCACAATGTGGACAGGCAATTGTATTGGTATCGTCTATGTCTTATTTTCCGTGTTTAACATACATTATCTCACTTGACACTTTAAAGTTGGTGCTGGTGTTAGGAGATCTGCACATCCCACACCGCTGCAACAGTTTGCCGGCTAAATTCAAAAAGCTGCTGGTACCAGGAAAGATCCAGCATATTCTCTGCACTGGGAACCTTTGCACCAAAGAGAGTTATGATTATCTCAAGACTCTGGCTGGTGATGTTCACATTGTGAGAGGAGACTTCGATGAGGTGATGTAGCCCAAGTAGTTATATGTTCTTGTATATCTGTGTGTGTGTGTGTGTGTATATGTATCTTTTATTTTTTTTGTGGTTTTATCCTTTAGATGAAGGTTTCTCAATTAAGACTGTCTTTCTTTTTAAATTTTCCAAGTACAAAATTGTATTCTTGAACCTGCTTTTTAAACTGCGTACGTGCCCCCCCCCATTGTTTGAAAATCACTAATTAGGACTACCCAATAGACATATTAAATTACTTGTTCTAAATAAATTGATGCTGAGTAAAAGTGGCTGTGTTACTGTTTTTACAGTGCCAAATTTAGTTTATAAAATTTTTGTTAGACACGTCTCACCATCACCACCTCTACTGCTCTGCCCAAAACCACCATCATCACTTCCTGTATTGCAGCTCCCTGATTCTGTCCTTCCGCTCTCCAGAATTTTTCTCCAAATAGCAACTGGAATGACCCTTTTTTTTTTTTTTGTGATTTGGATGAAAATATACAGAGCAAATTCACTTTCCATACAGCAGTACACATACACTTTGTCTCATGACATTGACTACAATTTACCACAATGCAACAGCTCCCCTCCCACTTCCTCCCAAGAGTTACCTCTTCCCTGTGTCTATCCCTCCATGCACTCCTGCCCCCTAAGCTGTCTCCCTGTACATAAACAGCCCTTCTTTCTCTCATGATTATTCTCTCCAAGGAGTGCACCTACCTTAGGTAAATGTTCAACTCATATGCTTGTCTTTTGTTTGGCTGGAAGCCACAGCTGTGGGTTCAATTCCAGACCTGAAGGGCAGCTAGGGGCCATAGTCTCAGTGATTCCACCAGGCTCTATCAAACCAGCAAACCTGGTCCCCCTTTTGTTTTTTTTCCAAATAAATTTTGAGTTTTGTTCCACATTGTTCTCCCTCTCTATCCAGGATCTCCTTCGTAGATCCCCCTCCAAGTGGTTGACAGTGGCAGCCAGGCACCATCTAGTTCTTCTGGTCTCACAGTCGTATAGGCTACAGATCACATGGTGTACCAGTCGCTAGGACTAATTGTTTCCATGAATCTTTGGTTTTCTTCATTCTTCTTTGGTCTGGACAAGGAGAAACTCATCATTGCATCTAGATGGCTGCTTGCAAGCTTTTAAGATCCCAGTCGCTACTTACCAAAGTAGGAGGTGGAATAGTGTTTTGTATAGTATGTTAAGTCCGTTGAGCTTGATGTCCCCTGTGGCTATGGTCTCGAGCCCACAGGTTCAACTACTCGGTCCCTCTGGGTAGCTGGCTGTGACCAAGAAGTGACTACACCCCTGTCCCTTGTCAGCTGTACTATATACCTGCGAATTCAGATCATACAAATACACTTATAGGACCATTGTCTGCCAACCCTATACATGGTCTTGGGTACACTCCCTGGTACATAGACATACCTAATAGTTCAGCCCGTCCACCCATCTATCCACCCGTATACCCATGTTTGCCTTCACTGACAATGCAGTAGTGTATGTGTAAAAGGGTTCATCTTTGTTGTCTGCACCTCCCATGTACCTCTGTCTTCCTCTTCCTCAGTGCCACCATGTTGATCACTCTCATTTGGTACATTGCCCTTCTCTTCACTCAGTAGAATGATCCTTTTTAAATGAAATAAGATCACATCATGATTCTGCCGATCCCCCTCCCCTGGCTCCCTGTATCCAGGGTTGACATTAAGAGGGCATGAGGGAATTTTGGGAGGTGGTAGAACTGCTCTGTATCTTGATTGTAGTTGTGCACATATTGTAATGTGTGTTTGTGAGGAGTCATTGAGTTACACATTTACACCAGGGAGATACACTCCTTAGAACAATCAATCATGGGAGAACAGAACGGCAGTATTTGCACAGGAAGATAGTTCAGGGGGCAGGAATGCATAGGAAAGAAGGACACAGGGAAGAAGTAACCACAGAGAGGAAGTGAGAGAGCAGTATATTGTAGGGAACTACAGTCAGTGTCATGAAACAAAATGTGTATGAACTGCTGGATGGAAAATGAATTTGCTTTGTAAACTTTCACCCAAACCACAATAAAAAATTTTTTTAAAAAAGAATCATTGAGTAATATACCAAAAAGGGTGACTTGACTATATATAAATTAGACCTCAATAAACCTGACTTTAAAGAAAAAATCAAGTTAGGAGTTCTGGAGTTCCAACTTCACCCATTAGCTAATGATAAGATTTTCTTTTCTCAAGTGTAAAATATGCTTGGACTAGATGATTTTGAAGACACCACCTGCCAGTGCTAACACTGTAAAGTATGAAAAACTTACTTTGTGTTTCTGGAAATGAATGCTTTTTTAAATAACTTTTTTAGCCTGGTTGGTGCTAAAGACACAAAGGGCATAGTGTCTTTTAGGTTTTTAGTGCATTTGAAAAATTATTTGAATAGAGGTGGCATGAAGGTGAAAGAATGAGAAGAGAAAGGGACAAACTTTTTGTCAGTAATTAAATATACAAAACCAAATACACTGCCATTGAGCCTGATCCGACCCATAGTGATCCCTCCTTGGGTTTCCGAGGCAGTATCACTATGGAAGTACATTGCCCAACCTTCCTTCCAAGGAGTGGCTGGTGGGTTTGAACCTCCAGCCTTCTGGATAGCAGTCAGATGCCTTAGGCACTACGCCACCAGAGCTCCCAATTAAATATAGGTATGTTAAAAACATATTAGGGCCTCTGTGCTTTAGGAGCTCTGGGGATATAGTGTAATTGAGCAATCTACTTCCGTAGTGATAATATCTTGGAAACCCAAGGTGGGGTCTCTATGAGTGGAATCTGACTTGACAGCAGTGAGTTTGTTTTTTTGAGTTTGTTAACTGCTATTATTCTTTTAAGTTACATAACTAGTAAAGGCTAGAATATAATTTGAACACACCCTAGTTGACAGGTCATATGTCTAATATTCTTTGGTAGAGAAAAATCACAAATTTTGGGGAATAAGTTTTCTACAGCATGCCCAAGAGAGCCAGTAATCTCAAGAAAGAAATAAGAGAGTGCAGGATAAATGCCAATTCACCTGGAGTAAGCATAGTCGCAGCCTTAGAGACTGAGAAGAAATATGTTGGTTGTGTGTTACTATATCAAAATCTCACAAAGACTGAATATTTAAATGGGCTGACTTTTCAAACACTAACATATTTAAAATACTTATTTCCTTATGCCTGTTTCCCATTTTAGAATCTGAATTATCCAGAACAGAAAGTTGTGACTGTTGGACAGTTCAAAATTGGTTTGATCCATGGACATCAAGTTATCCCATGGGGAGATATGGCCAGCTTAGCCCTGTTGCAGAGGCAGTTTGATGTGGACATTCTTATCTCAGGACACACACACAAATTTGAAGCATTTGAGCATGAAAATAAATTCTACATTAACCCAGGTTCTGCCACTGGAGCATATAATGCCTTGGAAACGTGAGTAGTATGCATTTTGGAAATTTATAGAGTTTTAGTAAAGGTAATAATTGCACATACGACATTTCATAAATATGATCTTTATTTGTCTTTGGGGGTTGGCATAAGAATGATAACATCAGCAAATTATGCACTGCAACATTGTGTGTAATACATATTACTAATGATAAACTGTATCCAAAAAAAAAAACCAGACGGTCATAAGTGTGGTTCATCATAACTTGAATACATCATAAGTTGGGGACTACCAATTCAGAACAATGACATTATTTTTTCTTTCAGAAACATTATTCCTTCATTTGTGTTGATGGATATCCAGGCTTCTACAGTGGTCACTTACGTGTACCAGCTCATTGGAGATGATGTGAAAGTAGAACGAATCGAATACAAAAAGTCTTAAAGCTGGGCCTGTCTTGGTGATATTTCTATTTTGTTTTCTTTGCATTCCCTTGTTTAAATCAAGTAATTAAACATTTAAAGCCACAAATTGTACCAATTTTATAATAGTTTGCAGTAAAATGTAATATCTTCTATGTTAATACATAATTGCTAAAGCTTCGTGTAAGTGGTAAGAATGTATTTAGTTTACAGTATATGGTTTTCCTGAAAAAATATCTACCACATAGTAAATGATCAACTGTTAAGAAAAAAATCTATTCTGGTAAATAACTTCAAATATTTGGAACCTTATTACGAAAGTAGTGCATGAGGAGAAAGAATCTAGATGTTCTTGTATACACTTTTCTCCATTCAGGAATAAACTTTTATCTTCAATTTATACTCTTTTGATAACTTGTTTTTAATTTAAAAAACCATAAAAACAAGACGAAATGAAATTGTAGGTAAGTATTAAAAGTGACTGGGTAGATGAGAAGAACTTTCAGAGCTCTCTTATCTCTTAAACATGTCATAATGTTGAACTCAGATTTTATTTTCTGAATTTTCTATGTAATACACGCTGGTAGGTGTAGTGCCTAAGGCACTTGACTGCTAACCAGAAGGCTGGTGGTTCAAACCCACCAGCCACTCCTCGGAAGGAAGGTTGGGCGATCTACTTCTGTAGTGATACTGCCTCAGAAACCCAAGGAGAGGTCGCTGTGAATTAGGTCTGACTCAACAGCACATAACAACACAACAACAACAACAACTTGTAATACACTTATTTGCATATGAAATCTGCAGTGATTTGTTCAAACCATAGCTTTAATTGCCTTACTCCCATTTCTTCAAGGTTCAATATATTTTTAAAAATACAGCAGAGACGCGTAAGTGAATATATAATGGAAAGAATCCTCTCATCAGTGTAGCTACTCCCAACTTCATCTAATTTGATAATCCAAGTCTTTGTGTGGCAATTTTCATAAAATAGGGCAAATTGGTATTTCCATTTTTAAAGTTATATGCAAGCAGCAAATATTTTTTAGTACCTCCTTTGCATGCCAGGGTGTTAATCTCTATTGGATGCTGTTTAAATGTTGCAGTTGTAGTAGAAAGGAGGAATTATACAATGCATTTGTTAGGCTTAAAGAAAAATCATTCAAGTTTAGTAGCAAAAAAAATTTTAATAGTATCTAGCTAGAAATACAAGTATGTATTACACATAAATTTTATTACACAAATACCATTTGCACAGTGAATTACAGCAAACCAAATACATTGCTGTAAAAGTTTCTGAAAAGACCAGATTACTTAGTGACTTGATGGTGAATAACAGTACTATCCTAAACATAGAGGACGCAATTCACAATCCCTTCCCCCAACCTTTGGCACATTATCTGGATGAGAGTTGGTGTTTAAATTCAGTGAGTAAGTTAAGAATGTCAAGTCAACATCAGATGTTCTCCCTGTTCTTCAATTGACATTGATTGCATACACTTATTTAGTAAATCTTCTTCCTTTTTTTCTTCATTCATGTATGATTCAGAATCATTCATAGAAACTGAAGGAAAAATAAGAGTTTATACTGTCTGTTTTGGAAATAAAGTTCTATTTCATCCTGAAAATTCAGATTTCCTTGTAATTATAACTTTCAAAATGACCTAGCTTATTAAGCCTTTAGCAAAAACAAATTACTTGCAATTTTTAAAAACCTTCATCATCTTCCCTTCCCCCATCTTTTAAAAATAAGATACAGGATACTGTATTCTAGCCAAGTTGCTGTGTAGAAATTCTGTTACTAAATTTTATTTTAATTGACAAATGAGGACAACTACAAACTAAAAAGAGGGAAAAAACTGTGTCGTTACAGAACTTCTAGATGGTAGGGATGTTAAGACAACTACAAGATAGAATGGACTGTTCGAAACTTGGGAAGAAAACTGTAAGTCACAGGGTAACGTCAAAGAAAATGATAAACCTTCACATCAAAATAAAAAGGACCAGCACAAATATTTAGCAAATACTAAAACAACAGCAACAAAGGAAATGATAACATGATTCATAAACAAAACAAGCTCAGCATAGAAAATTAATATGGAACAAAGAAATCGACACCACGAAAAAGCATATAACAAAAATGACAGCAGCAAATTCATATTTGCCAATAATTACGTATCTGGCAAGGGCCTTATCCCTAAGACTTATAGAAAACTCCAGTACCTCAACACCAAAGGAATTAACAATCCAATTGAAAAACGGGCAGAAGACATGAATAGACACGTCACCAAGGAGGATAGTCAGGTGGCCAGCTTATACATGAAGAGATGCTCACAATCATTGGCCATCAGAGATGCAAATCAAAACAATGAGATACTGTCTCACCCCAGCACTGATGGCAAGGTTCAACAAGACAGAAAATAAATGCTGGTGGGGATGTGGAGAGATTGGGACTCTCATACACTGCTGGTGGGACTGTGAAGTAATACAACCACTGTGGAAAGCAATATGGTGATTCCTTAGAAAGCTAGAATTGGAGATACCGTTTGACCCAGCAATCCCATTACTAGGTATATATCCTAGAGAGGTGAGAGCCAGGACAGGAACAGATACATGCACACTCATGTTCATTGTAGCACTATTTACAATAGCAAAAAGATGGAAACAACCTATGTGCCCATCAGCAGAAGAGTGGATGACCGAACTGTAGTAATGGAATGCTATGCAGCACTAAAGAATAATGTAGAGTCTGCAAAACACAGCATAATATGGATGAACTTGGAGGACATCATGCTGAGTGAAATAACTCTATCAAAGAAGGACAAATATAGTATTAGTTCATTATTGTGGAGGGTCAAGGAAAGGTTTATATATGGAGGTAACCGTTCTTGGTTGGTTGCCAGGTGTAGGAGGGGAGGGGAGAGAACACTGCAAAAAAAAAAAAAAAAAAAAAAAATGCATCGACTCATATCACTTTAGTTTTGTGTATTTCACTGTACATAAATTATATTTCAATAAAATCCATTACAATTTTATTTTATAATTGATTTTCATAATAACCTTCAAAAGATTAAGCAAAAATCTTTTGGTTGGGAGGGAGTTAAGGTGGTCAGTTGCCTGTCTTCAAGTATCTCTTCCTTTCCCTTTAGTTGCTTCTCATTTCTTGGAGACCACAGGGATTTTTCTTTTACCTGGGTTTTCCCCTAACTTCTTGGAACCAGCCTTGCCTTCTCTATGCTTTCCTCATTGGGTGGGCACAGTATAGGATCTGCAGCAGTGCCGAGTGGCATTGTCACACAGCACTGGGATTTCAGTTCAGAAGGCCTAAGTCCTGACTTCCCTATCCAGTAAAAGTGGGAATTATTGACACTGATCCTTCCCAAGTTTGGGTTTGTTTGAGCTGTATCTGTAAATTTTGATAATATCACCTGCTTGACTCACCTTCACTGGTTTATTGACTGTCCAACAAAATAACGTAAGTGATATAACCAGTTGCTGTTGAGTTTATTGCGACTCACGGCGACCCCATGTATGTCATATAGAAATTTCAATAGCTGATATTTTAGAAGTAGGTCACAAGGCCTTTCTTCTGAAGCACTTCAGGATGGACTTGAACCTCCAACCTCTCACTTAACACCTAAGCTTGTTAACAGTTTGCACCACACAGGAACTCCTATAAGTGAACCTTCTGTAAACTATACAGAGTACCTTGATAATCCAAATATGTCACTACCACAAAGAAGTGCTATGGCATAGAGTCATTCTTTTAAAGTCTCTGATCGTGATATTAGGAGTCCTTGGGTCGTGTAAATGGTTGAGCACTGCCCTTCTAACTGAAGGGAAGGCCTAGGGATCTGCTTCCTAAAGGTCACATCCTTGAAAGGCCTATCGAGCAGTTCTCTGCACATAAGGGATCACGATGAGTTGGAATCCACCACAACTCCCAACAACCTTGATATTGTCAATATCTTTAGAATTAGAAATGTCTTGAATTCACTCCTCTGATCAGTGTGTGATTTTAAATGAAAGCAAAACGTGAATTTCATGTTTCATTTTCTGTAGGTCCCTGGGTGGCACAGTTTGCACTTGGCTATTACTAATGAGAGGCTGGCGGTTCGGTCCACCCAGCAGCATCATGGAAGAAAGGCCTGATGAGCTACTTACGTGAGATTACAACCATTGTAAACCCTATGGGGTGCACGTCTCTGACACACAGACTGAATGGCAATGGGTCTGCTACTAGAAATGAAACTGCATTTTGTTTAATACTTTTTAAGTATAAGATCTTTACAACTGCCTATATTTTAAATTCAACATTTACCTGGTTGCATGAACAGCCTGCTTGGTCTTCTAAAAATCTTCAGTGACTTACATCTTGTTTTAGTTGAATATCCAGTCTTCAACCTGTAAGAAAGAGAAGGATCTTAATTGGAGCCAACAAAGTACAAAACTGCCTAGTGTTTATGGGAAACAATGCAAGCTCTTAGTTAAGCTGCCAGCATCACCCAAGACATCTTTTCAGCCCCCAAATTCTCCTGTGACTAAACCTGAAATGCAAAGCTCACTATTGCAGTGCAGGTTGAATACTCAGTCTTCTTAATCTCTTTTTCCCCTCTTTCCTTTTTTGTTTTATAATATTCCTCTGGGCAAAAGCAAATACATGCTTTCTCCTTTTAAGTATTTGTATTTTTTGCAATTTGAGTAGGAATCATATTGAAAAGGGATGTCTCCCATCTCTAACTGATCAAGAAATGTTTACAATTCTACAACATACTTTCAAGAAGTGGCATATCCCATTCAGCTCAGTGAAGGGTTAGAGGACATCCTTTTGTGCTTATTGTCCAAGCTATTTTGGATTTAGCAAAGTGAAGATTTTAGGGAACACAAATTTTAATACCATTTAACTACCCTTCAAATAAAATTGGACGTTTTCAACCTCTTAAACAGTAAGAAACATACCCCTCTTTGTTTCTCGCTGGTCGCCAGAGGGCGTGTGGCACGATCATTTCAGGGGCACAGGCTGCTGTGATGCTGGAAGGCCCCAAGCCCTCTCTGTCCAGTTGGTGTCGCCATGTGGTGCAGGGGTAATGCTGTTTCTGGGAGTAACGTGAGCTGAGGCGGCTCCTGTGATGAGTGAGGACACCTGTCATACAAATCACTTGTTAGAAGGACCTCCCATCTCTTGGGAGAACTCGGGAGCAACTCAGGAGGTGCACCTGCCTGGCTTCTGGGAGCTGCGCTGAATCACGTGTATGTACTGCTTCTTCATTAATGTTTTCAGGTAGTTGGCATTATAGATCTTAGCAATGCTGCACAGGTAGCGTTTCTGGCCCATGGTGAAGTCAGGATGCTGAAACACAGAATAAATAAGATTATTTATTACGGAGCTGGAATGCTCCTCAGAAGCGAGAATGGCCAGACTTTGTCTTACCTACTTTGGTCACGTTGTCAGAAGGGACCATTCCCTGGAGCAGGGTATCCCTGGAGTGGGAAGACCCTCAATGAGATGGTTTGACACGGTGGCTGCAACAGTGGGCTGAAGCACAGCAAGGATTGTGAGGACGGGGCAGGATTGGGCAGGGCTTCATTCTGGAGCCAACTCAATGGCACCTGACAACAAAGTCTGCACCGTAGAACAGAGGTTGGCAACCACCGCCTTATCTGATAGGGTCAATGTATTGTGTAGAGTTACACCATACATACATTTAGCTTATACAAATGCAACTTTGTTAACGTGGCCAAAAAGAAAGAAGAATGGCCATTTGAACAGTGCTAGTGGTTGAACTAGGAGCTCTGGTAGCATAGTGCCTAAGGCACTTGACTGCTAACCAGAAGGCTGGCGGTTCAAACCCACCAGCCACTCCTCGGAAGGAAGGTTGGGCAATCTACTTCTGTAGTGATACTGCCTCAGCAACCCAAGGAGGGGTCGCTATGAGTCAGGGCCAACTCGATGGCACATAACAACAACAACAACAACAGTGGTTGAACTTGAACTTGTTGTTCCACTCAAGTGGTTCCCACATGCTCTGAGGTTGAGAACCCCTGCCCTAGAGAAACAAGGAAGATGTGAATGAGCTGGTCCTTAATAGCTCCCACGCCTCTCTCTGGGCATCCTGCCTTCTCAATTAGATCTAATATTTAAGTGCCTGTTTTTTTTTTTTTTTTTTAAGGTATAACATGGTACTTAAGAGCAACTCAATTACTCTGCTTCCTCTCAACTAAAACAGTCTTTGCAGCACAGAAGAGTTGCAGTCTGTGTTGGGTATACTGAGGAAAGCTTGGGGGCCTCTAGTAGAAGTGGTTCTGACTAAGATTTTCACCGTTCTTGCTGGTTTATAAGTTAGCATTCACTTAAGATGCAAGACTCCACTGCAGGTATACATATGTATATACACACACACACAAAGGATTCAAAATGTTCATCAGAAAATTTGCCACTTTGCACAGATCTTTAGTAATCAGTGCACATTGCTTCAAGGATGGTATTGCTGGCAGCTGTGATCTTTGATGGGTAGTGAAGGTCAAAAGTTATAAAATGCTTGCTTATCTTGCAGCCCCCCCCCCCCTTTTTTTTTTTTTTTTGGTTAAATCTGCTTCTAATTTTTCAGTCCTTAGTGAAATCTTTATGAGGTTGGATTTCCATCTCTAGGATGGTGCTTTCTTAAGCAGCTTTGTGCTTGGGGCACTGAGCTTCCAGAGTAAAAGTACATTCAATCTCAAGTTTCATCAAGCTGCGAAAGAGCTCTCATGATATGGAATGATCTAATCCTTACAATCATGCAGAAGTTTACACCACAGGTATTTATTGGCTCCTAGACAATATGCTGGGTATACCTTATACAATATGCTGTTATCTGCAGTGCCTTTCCCTTAAGGTAGCGCATCTTCCATAAAGAGTTCAGCTCTAAATACAAAGAATATTGGTATTTAAAGAACCATTTTTTGGTTAGCATACCTTTCGAAAGGATGCATCCTTCATTGATTTAGGGATGTGAATTGTTTGAATTTGAGGAGTTTTCCATAACTCTTGCAGCTTGGCTGTATGTGATTCCACTTTATGTCCATCTGTGAGTCTCTCTGTAGGCAAGGACGTTATTATGTGAATTTCATGAGCTAGGATCAGTTCAGTAAATTATTAAAGAGATCTATATATTGATGTGTCAATGATTATTCTGGAGTATCATGAATATTTTACATCAGATTGTTAAATTTCAAGCTACTTATGATATGTCATTTGTTTAGAGCTTATAGCTATCTCTATTCATAAACATTTACTATGCAATACTAAAATAATTTTTGCTCAAAGTGATTCAAAGGCAGCAAAGCTGATTTTTTTTTTGTTAAGTTATATATGGACTCCATTACTTTGAACTCAGCTGAGATGGTGACAGTAAGTCAGTTTTTTTGTTTATCATCTATCAGAAATATACTAAAGAATCTATATGCACGATTTGTATTTTAAAGATTTACAACAATACTATTTTATTCATTTGACTTTCCTTTTAAAATCCTATTCCCTAGAGTATGAAAGCATTAATATTAAATGCCAGTCAGGAAATACCAGGCTACTATATCATACCTCACACACATTTATCTTAAAAATAGCACACTTGATAGAATTAATTTAAATGGATTTCCTTGTATTGGACTCAAGATAGAATAACACAAATTTTACCCCTTTTAATGCTGTATAAATTTATTAAAGCTTATTTTTACATAGTTTTAGTTATATTTTGTGTGAACAGAATAAAATAGCCTTTAAACAAAATTTATTGTTTTATGTGAAAGGTCACATAGCACATTAGTTTCTCATTTAACAATTTGTACACAGTTTGCTCCATGACACTGGTTGCTATCCCCACAGCGTGTCAGTACTCTTTCCTTTTCCGTCCTGCCTTCCCAGTGCCTGTGTCTGCAGTTTCCCTTCCCCTTGTTGCCTTCTCATCTCTGCTATTGGGCACACATTACCCATTTAGTTTCCTATAGTTGATTGTTCTAGGGAGCACAGTTCTCTCATTTTTTTTTTTTTTTAAATGGGACAGTCTGTTATTTGCCTGAAAGGTGACTTCTGGGAGCGGCTTCTGTTCTAGGTTAAAAGGGTGTCATAGGGCAAAAGTCTTGGGGGTTCTTCTAGTCTCTATCAGTCTAGAAAGTCTGTTTTTTTTTTTTTTTTTAATGAATTTGAGTTTTGTTCCATATTTTTCTCCCATTCTAACCAAGACTTTCTGTTGTTTCCCTGATCAGAGCAATTAGTAGTGGCTGGGCACCATCTAGTTCTTCTGGTCTCAGGCTAGAGGTGGCTGTGGTTTGTATGGGCCGTTAGTCCTATAGACTAATAGCTTATTTGAGTCTTTGATTTCCTTCACTCTCCTTTGCTCCAGAGGGGAAAAAACCAATAGTTGTATCTTAGATGGCCACTCACAAGCTTTTAAGACCCCTGATGCTACTCACCAAGAAAGATGTCCCCTGAGACTATGGTCCTTAGCCTTCAAGACCAGTAACTCAGTCCCACGAGGTATTTGGACATGTCTAAGAATCTGTCCCCCTTATATCTTCTATTATAGATATGAATATATATGTAGCACATACAAATAGGTATATAAGTGCCCTCAACTATACCTATATATGCATGCATGTATACTCCCATATGCCCTCCCATACCTACATGACATACATATCTACCTATGCAACCACCTGCAAATTTTTAATTGCTTTTACTGTTGCTGCTGCTTTCATTCAGCATAATTATTTTGAGATTCATCCATGTTACTTATAACAATGGGAGCTCTGGTAGCATAGTGCCTAAGGCACTTGACTGCTAACCAGAAGCCTGGCGGTTCAAACCCACCTGCCACTCCTCAGAAGGAAGATGGGGCAATCTACTTCCATAGTGATACTGCCTTGGAAACCCAAGGAGGGGTTGCTATGAGTTGGGTCCGACTTGACGACACATAACAACAAAACAACAACATATAGCAATAGTTCTTTTTTAATGCTGAGTAGTATTGCAATGTATGTATGTATCTCAATTCAGTTTTTCATCCACACGTTCATGGATATTGGGTTTTTCTAGTATTTGACTATTACAAATAAAACTGACAGAACAGATTTTAAGTTAAAAGTTTGTAGTTTGTTTCAGTGTTACTGATAACAAAGGGCCCAGTAAATTTGTATTTTAAACTTCAGTTGTAGTTAGTTCTTCAAAACTGTGGGAAAGTGATGGTTAGTACAAATAAGTAAGAGTTAAATTTGCTTATTGAAGGTCTGATTTGTTTGCTAACAATGGAAAATTATGTCAAAATTTTATTATGACCCTTGAAACATAATTGAAATCTGTAATAAGAGAATGAATACCAATATAACATTTTTTAAAGTTTATTTTTTAAAAAAATCCTTTTTAAAGTCATAATTTTGGGCTAATTATCTAATAATATATCTTTTGTGTCCCTGTGAAGCTTATTTCTGAGATGCATATTCTAGTCTAGACTCAAATTTGTCAAAAGAATGATAACAGTACTTTATAGAAAATCAAACACTTAAAAATAGTTAACTAACCCAAGTAACTTTTGAATACATTACCTGAACTATACACCTTCAAACAGAAAGAATTCTAAGCAAATATTAAACTCAAACTACTAGACTTTTTTTCGGCAGAGTCACGGGGTAGCAGTTCTGAAGCTATTTTTTTTTATACGTGTTGGGCCTGAGCAAATGAGGAAATTTGTTGTGGTTAGTGGGAGCCAGGTTTCACACTGGTGGAGAAGGGAGTTTCCTATTCATATGGGAAAAGAGAAACATAGCAAATACCTGCTTGTTGGCTTGTAATTGGAGCAATCAGTGGGAGCTCATGAGTTTTAATATACATACTAGGTAGAGAGATACAGAAATGCATATAGACATGTGTAGGTATGTAGACAGACACGCACAGAGAAAGAGAAAGCAAATGTAGTTAACATTTGATGGAATCTGAGTGAAGGGATCCTCAAGTTCTGTGCACTATTCTTACAACTTTTCTGAAAATCTGTATTCAAACTTAAAAAAAAAAAAAGTGCTAATTTTGACGAAGAAGCCCTGCTGGCACAATGGTTAAGCGCTCAACTGCTAACTGAAAGCTCAGTGGTTTGAATCCACCAGCTGCTCCGCAGGATAAAGATGGCAGTCTGCTTCCCTAGAGATTACAGATGTAGCAGTTCTACTCTGCCCTAGAGGGTTGCTATGAGTCAGAATTGACTCTAAAGTAAAGGGTTTGGTTTGTTTGGTAATTTTGATAAATCGTTTTATGTTATTATAGGAAAGTAGTTTAGAGTGGATATAAAGTTTTAGTAAATAATTGAAAAATGAGTTTTGCTCATTGTCTTGAAGACAAATTTTAGTTAAATCAGATTTAAAACAATATCTCGATTCTTTGCCAAGAGAGTTGACTATAGTGTTTATAGTAAATAATAGGGTTAGACCTTAACTGCAAATGCAAAGGGAAACCATAAGGCACTTATTGAGTACTGCTAGCTTTTACTCATGATTATAACTGTAGGATTTGTGAAGTACATACACTAAATATAAGAAAAAGTGAAAGTCCTCTTTAATCCCACCATCTAGTACTAATCACTGAAAAACATTTTGCAATATTACCTTTCTGAGTTTTCTAGGCATATATGTATATTGTTTTTAATATGAGCAGGGTCCTACAGTAATCACACTTTTCATTTTTATTTTGATGTTTAGAAACTTTGCTTTTATGTAATTCAATCAGTCTACTTCATATACTTCAATTATTAAAATTCCTCCTTTAGACAAGTTATTTTCCTTCACGTTGGGGATGAGAAACTATTAATATTTGGTTTGTGTTTTGTTTCTTTTCTCTACTGAAGTCTTATTCAGTAAGAATTTTGATTAGGTAACTATCTAAGTAATAATGCTGGAACTCATATGGTAGAATTTTGCAAGACCAACTACTTGTTCATTGCAAACACCTTTTTTCAACAACACAAACGGAGGCTGTACACGTGGACTTCACCAGATGGAACACACAGGAATCAGATTGATTACATCTGTGGCAAGAGGTGGTGGAAAAGCTCAATATCTTCGGGCAAAACCAGGCCAGGAGCTGATTGTGGAACAGACCATCAACTGCTCATATGCAAATTCAACTTGAAGTTAAAGACAATGAAAACAAGTCCAAGAGAGCCAAAGTATGATCTTGAATATATCCCTCCTGAATTTAGAGATCATCTAAAGAATAGATTTGATGCATTGAACTCCAACGACTGAAAGCCAGATGAATTATGGGAAGATATCAAGAACATTATCCATGAAGAAAGCAAGAGATCACTAAAAAGACAAGAAAAGAAGAGAAGACCAAAGTGGATGACAGAAGAGACTCTGAACCTTGCCCTTGAGCAGAGAATAGCTAAAGCAAATGGAAGAAATAAAAAGGTTAAAGGGCTGAACAGAAGATTTCAAAGAGCAGCTCGAGTAGACAAAGCCAATTACTATAATGAAATGTGCAAAGACCTGGAGTCTGAAAACCAAAAGGGAAGAACATGCTTGGCATTTCTCAAACTGAAAGAACTGAAGAAAAAAATTGAAGCCTCGAGTTGCAATATTGAGAGATTCTATGGGCAAAATATTGAATGATGCAGGAAACATCAAGAGAAGATGGCAGGAATACACAGAGTCACTGTACCAAAAAGAACTGATCGATCTTCATCCATTTCAGGAAGTGGCATATGATCTAGAACCAATGGTAATGAAGGAAGAAGTCAGAGCTGCAATGAAAGAACTGGCAAAGAACAAGGCTCCGGGAATTGATGGCATACCGATCGACATATTTCAACAAACAGATGCCCCATTGGAGGCACGCACTCAGTTATGCCAAGAGATTTGGAAGACAGCTAGCTGGCCAGCTGACTGGAAGAGATCCATATTTGTGCCTATTCCAAAGAAAGGTGATCCCACAGAATGTGGAAATTATAGAACAATATCATTAATATCGCATGCAAGTAAGATCTTACTGAAGATAATTCAGAAACGTTTGCAGCAGTATATTGATAGAGAACTTCCAGAGGTTCAAGCCGGATTCAGAAGAGGACGTGGAACAAGGGATATCATAGCTGTTGTCAGATGGATCTTGGCTCAAGGCAAAGAATACCAGAAAGATGTTTACCTGTGTTTTATTGACTATGCAAAGGCATTTGATTGTGTGGATCATGACAAATTATGGATAACATTGAGAAGAATGGGAATTTCCGAGCACTTGATTGTACTCATGAGGAATCTGTACCTTGACCAGGAGGCTGTCATTTGAACAGAACAAGGGAACACTACATGGTTTAAAATCAAGAAGGGAGTGCGTCAGGGTTGTATTCTTTCTCCACACTTATTCAATCTATATGCTGAACAAATAATCCAAGAAGCTGGACTATATGAAGAAAAACGTGGTATCAGGATTGGAGGAAGAATCATTAACAACCTGAGATATGCAGATGATACAACTTTGCTTGCTGAAAATGAGGATGACTTAAGGCACCTACTGCTGAAGGTTGAAGAATACAGTCTGCAGTATGGATTACATCTCAATATAAAGAAAACAAAAATCCTCACAACTGGACCAATGAGCAGCATCACAATAAATGGAGAAAAGATTGAGGTTGTCAAAGAATTCACGTTGCTTGGTTCTACAATCGATGCCAATGGAAGCAGCAGTCAGGACATTAGACGACGTGTAGCATTGGGAAAGTCAACTGCAAAGGAACTGTATCAAGTGCTGAGGAGCAAGGATATCTCCTTGAGGACTAAGGTGCGCCTGACACAAGCCATGATATTTCCAATCGCCTCGTATGCATGTGAGAGCTGGACGATGAATAAGGAAGACCGAAGAAGAGTTGATGCTTTTGAGTTGTGGTGCTGGCAAAGAATACTGAAAGTACCATGGACTGCTAAAAGAACTAACAGATCTGTCCTGGAGGAAGTGCAGCCAGAATGCTCCTTGGAAGCAAGAATGGCCAGACTTCGTCTCACCTATTTTGGTCATGTTGTAAGAAGGGACCTTTCCCTGGAGAAGGATGTCATGCTTGGTAGGGTGGAGGGTCAACGGAAGAGGGGGAGGCCTTCAACGAGATGGATTGACATGGTGGCTGCAATGATGGGCTCAAGTATAGCAGGGATTGTGGGGCTGGCGCGGGATCGGGCAGTGTTTCGTTCTGCTGTGCATGGGGTCGCTATGAGTCGGAAACGACTCGACGGCACTTAACAACTATCTAAGTTAATGAGACCAAAGGTAAACACATTTAAAATGACCATGTTTTATATAAACGTACATGTACACACACATAGTATATATATATACATACATATATATATATGTATATATATATGTGCATATATATTTTTTCCTGGACAATTATAAGGACTGAAAATTTTCCAAGGAAAGGGAAATGTGATTCTAAGCCTCTATATAGTTGGATTTAAATGAGACATGTAAAAACTACGGTAACTACTGTGCTTTTTAAAGAATGCATATTCTAAGGTCAGTAAATTCCACCTTCTTCACCCCCATAAAGAAAAGCAATTAGTAAGAGGTCTTTCGGGCCAGTCTTACTCTGTTAACTCCAGCAGAAAAGAGGTAAGTACTTTGAAAACACTGTCATCTTTAAGGGTGAGGAAGATACAATTATTGGGAAACAGGTTCTTTAAAGCTGTAAAATTTACAATTTTTTAAAATCTGGGTTTAAACCCTAGGTTGTGTTCTGTTTTCACCCAGCATTAGTTCTAACGGTAGCTCTTTTTCAATTCAGTGCTAATTCTGAAAGCCTTTTTTTTTTTTAAATGCTTGATCTTGTATTAATAGGAGAGAAAGAACATTCTGGATTTTTCTTTGAAAATCTTAAAAGACTCAGTTCATCAACTATGCTAATAAAGTCTATTTTTAAAACTCCATCGTCTAAGTAGTTGCATATTGGCTTCTCTGAGCCATCTTATTTATAGGTATTATCTGGCTTATATGCAGTACTCACCAGTACCTTTGGAATTCTGGTAATAAGAATGTCCAGATCTGTTTAAAAAAAAAAGAGAGAGAGAGGGAAGCATATAAATGATACATAGTCAACAGCTTTACAAGCAATAAAAAAAGTATTTAAAATGAAAAAGGGACAGTATTGCATATGTTTTTTTTTTTTCATGTTTCCAGCAGGCATACTGTCTTGCAAAATTTACCTTGTAATTCTTGTTAAGTCCTCCTGGCTCCAGGATTTTTGAAAGTGAGTTATCTGAGATTTTTACCATAATAGAAAGGATTTACTTTAAGCCAGTTTTGGTTTTACTTTTACAGTCTCCTAATCCAGTTCTTACAGTGAGCTCAATAAAGTATAGTCTGGGCTCCTGTGCTAACCGTGAGACATTTTCTTGCTCTGTTTTTAATAAAGTATTTTGGGTACTGAAAAGACTATCCAGTTCTTTATTACATGTAATTTAGGTGTGCTGGAACTGACACATTGGTCTGTAATGTTTAACTCTGTACAAGTTATTTTTTTCTTTTTTCAAATTAAGTCAAATCCCTCTTCCTTCTCTCTTCTCAAAATTTATTCAACTGATCTCCCGATATACTTAGGATCCAACAATTTCTCAAGCACTGAAGAACAGGAAAGGAACCCACACGACGGCCCCACCAGCTTTAAGAGGTCTCCAATCGCGATACATTAAAAAAAAAAAAAAAAAACAATGATTGCAGCAGGGGCCATGACTGTGGGCTGAACTGGGCAGCGAAAAGGTCACAACTCTGACTTTTAGGGACTAATGGTGGGAGGGGATAAGGAGGGACAAGAGCAGAGACCTCCACCTGGAAATAGTAAAAACGTGCTCGAAAAATGGCCTTATGAAGGGATTTCGTTGTAAAGAAAATGTCAAGATCAAGGTGCCTCTAATATTAATAGTCATCTGCTTCCTTGCCATCATGAACCCCGGTTTGACACACACAGGCCCGGGTTTATTGACTTGAAGCTCTCCCTGGAGCGGGGGGTGCGTTTTCTCTCTACGATGCTCCCACCTTTAAATATAGCGACTGTAGCCAGACGGCAATTTATCCAGCAGGTGTCGCAGCGCCCCCTGGGGGCGGAAAGGTGCACGCAGGCGAGTGTCGCAGTCGCTGACTTCAGTCATTCATTGCACCAAACCCTCACCTCCGAGCTTCCCTCAGAAGCTCCCTAACACAGTGAGCGAGTCAGCCTCCATGTTTCCATCTCGACCCCAACAAACGTTTTCCCGCTCACTTAAGTGCACTGGGGATCAGTTCATTCGCGGAGCAGCCCGTTCCCACCCCTCCTCTGGCGGGGGACCACCACCTAGGGCTATTGACCGTCCCCTCTCCTCCCCGAACCCCTAAGGGCCCCGCAGCCTCACCCGCCGCCGCAACCCTCGCTCCGGGCCGCTGCGGGCAGTTCTGCCGAAGAGCTGCGCTCAGTCCAGTAGGACAACTGCCCCTGGCCGGGCATTCTCCTCCCTGATGCCCAGACTGCGAGCCGCGTGCGGGAGCAGCCGTCCCTACCCCTCCCCTCAGCACTCGTGCGTCAGGCGGGGAGATATTGGGGTGAAGAGGCGGACGCTAAACTCGCCCCCTCCGATGTGGTCCGGACACTGCCCGAAGAGCTTCGGGAGAGCGGGGAGGGTAGATCGGGATCCTGAAGCTACGGTGGAGGAGGGGCGGAAGTTCCTCAGTTGATAGCGCTTTTGAACGTTTGCGTCTTTTTATGGAAGGGATGCGTCACGGGAACGCTCCCTAGAACAAGAGGTGCCCTCCATTTCAGCATTCCAGACCGTAATCAAATTTGCAAATCTTGGGTGTCGCCATTTAGCCAAACACTCGTACGGAAACCAAGAACCAAGGGACCCAGCGCAAGATGCTAAGCGTTATCTGTTATCACCTAGGAAACCAGGTATCAACTGCGTCCCAACCGCAGATTTTAGCAACTGCTTCTGCGCACGCGCAAACGCTAGGCTCTACTCCAGTCCTTCAAAGTAGCGCCTCCGCGTTTTACACGGGATTTGGCCCACGAGCCTCTCCGTACTACGATGTGCGAGAGAACGGGGACGCAGAAAGGAACTTGGATTGTGATTGGTCTACACGCCGTGTTCCCGGAACTCAGTCAGCGTCGGCGAAGACTGAGGGGAGTGTGGTGGTTCATTCCCAGTGCTGTGTGCCGGCTGCATTGGGAGCTGGAGGGTCACTATGCCTCGGTATGCGCAGCTGGTCATGGGCCCCGCCGGCAGCGGTAAGGTGAGGACTTGAAGGAGAGAAATGTTGGAGTTCGTGGGGGGCCGGGAGTTCTGGTCCTGAGGTATGGGGCGGCGGGTGTGTGTGTTGGAGACTGTGGGCAACTGAATTTTGTGGTCTTTCTTTTGAAAGAGAGGTAGTAATGATTGTTAGTATTAATCGGATATATTTTTTTTGCCCCAGTTACTGTGCTAAGCGCCTCATTGATTTCCCCCAACAATCCTATGAGGTTGGTCTTATTTACAGAGAAGTAAAACGAGACACAGGGATTAAGTTCTTTGCCCAAGATCACATAGCTAGTGAGTGACGGCTAAGATTTAGTCTGTGATGTCTGACTCCAGACACGTGCTTGTAACTATCAGGCCTGCCTCGTTCACAGGAGATTCAAGTAGGGTCTCGTCTGTCAGTGCTTCTCGAGAGGTTGGTTGACGCAGCCTAGTTTGGGCCTTAGCGGATACTGTCCCAGGGGGTTTGAGAATCCTTGCAGGGGATGGGGTAGCCTCGCTCTCGGCTGTAACGCCTCTGGCCTTCCGACATTACAGAGCACCTATTGTGCCACCATGGTCCAGCACTGCGAAGCCCTCAATCGGTCCGTCCAAGTTGTGAACCTAGATCCTGCCGCAGAGCACTTCAGCTACCCCGTTATGGCCGGTGAGCCCTGGGCACAGCCCTGCCCCTCTTCCAGGGAGAAGTCGGGGGGAGGGTCAGGTAATGCATGCTGTTCAGCGGGGAAGCCGAGCGATTTGTCCTTGCAGTCTGCTCCCTGGTTTCCAAAACACGCTTTCCGCACCCGTGATGAACTGGAAAGGCAAAATGCCGTTTAGTGACATCCACTCATGATGTCATGTCTTGGTCCTTGAGGAAAGAATTAAAAGTGAGTGAACTCCCCTCATCACCCTTCCCTTCTCTCCCGTTAATGCTTGGTCCTGCTGTGGTGAATCTGGTGTACTGCTGATCACACTACAAGTGAGCAGCCTAGGGTTTTGGGGGTTTTTGTTTTGAAGTCTTTTAATTTATTCATTCAAATGTCTGTTGAATATCTACTTTATGGCAGACACCAGAGTTACAGCAGAGAACAAGATGATGCTATCCCTGCTCTCATGAACCTTTCCATTAATAAACAAAATGATATATTATGGATTGTGCTGAGAACTGTAAGAAGAGTGATGCTGCTTTAGGTAGTGTGGGCAGGGATGATGTCTATGGGGAGGAGCTGTTTGTTTGCACAGGCTTTCTGTCTCTCTCTCCATCTTTTTATCCTACTTTCTCTGCTTGAGCATGTACACAGCTCAACAAGGTATCCCAACTGGAGAGTCACATCACTCTGGTCCAGGTGTCTTACAGACTCACTAGTGGCCTTGATTCATCCTTTTAGGAGACCAATTTTATTGTCCCCATATGGGTCAATCGGAAGGAAGGTTGGGCAATCCTACTTCCGTAGTGATACTGCCTCGGAAGCCCAAGGAGGGGTCGCTATGAGTCGGGTTTGACTCGACGGCACATAACAACAACAACAACAACATGGGTCAATTGTTTACCCTTGGGGGAGGGCCTCGGAAGATGTTATTCCAATAAAACCTACAAAAGCTGCAACCTATGTAAGCCTGAAACTTGTTAGAGAAGGAAAACACAAGTATTTTCCACTAATAGAGAGGGATAGAAAAGTGGTAAGCTGTACCTTGTTAAAGGCAGAAAACTGCAAGGCCCAGAAAAATAAGGCGTTCTTGTGAAGTTCTCTGGTGGCACAATGCCTAAGGCATTTGACTGCTAACCAGAAGGCCAGCAGTTCAAACCCACCAGCCACTCCTCCAGAAGGAAGTTGGGTGATCTACTTCCGTAGAGATACTGCCTCAGAAACCCAAGGAGGGGTCGCTTTGAGTCAGAGCCAACTTGACCGCAGTGAGTTTGGTTTTGGTTTTGGTTTTGTTAAGTTCTAGCTCAAACAGGTTTCACTGTACTGTGAAATTGAAGGCCACTTTTCTATGAATGAAATTGTAAGTTTTAGCACAAAATGAAAACCTAAGGTAGAAAATTCTAACTACTGATTTCTAAAAATTGATAAATTTCAAAAAAAAAAAAAAAAAAAATGAGAACCACACTGCTACTAGGGTATTTCAAGCCCCTGTTACCGGTGGTTTAAGGTCCCTAGGTGGTGCAAATGGTTTACAATCAATTACTAACCTAAAGGTGTGGCCATGGGTTGGAATTGATTTGATGGCAAAGAGTTTGTTTTTTTTTATTAACAGGCAGTTTGAGGACATTGGTTGTTCGGTGGTAGAATTCTTTCCTTCCACATGGAAGACCTAGGTTCAGTCTCCTGGCCATTGTACCTCATGCAGAGCTCCTGCCCATCTGTCAGTGAAGCCTTGTGTGCGGCTATGATGCTGAACAGGTTTCAGCAGAGCTTTTGGACTAAAAGGGACTAGGAAGAAAGTCCTGGCAATCTACTTTGGAAAATCAGCCAGTGAAGACCCTGTGGATCACAGTGGTCTGATCCACAGCCAGTCGTGGAGATGACACAAGATTGGGCAGCATTTAGTACCATTGTGCATGGGGCCACCATGAGTTAGGCTCCAACTTGACAGCAGCTGACAATGACAACAACAGGTGCTTTATGCACATTATGTCATATAATCCTCATTCCTCTACCTCAGGATACAGGATTTTTCTCCCCCATTTTACAGATAAGAAAATGATGCTCATGTGAGTTAAACATTTACCTCAAGTAGACACACGCCCTGGAGAGAACAATCATGGGAGAAGGAAGGGCTGCTTATGCACAGGGAGATAGCTCA